GCGGGTTCTCCCCCCCCGCCTCTCCCCGCCCCATCGCTGGCTTCCCACCTATTTCTATCCTCCTGTTTCTGCTTCTTTCCCACAATCAGCCCCCCATCCGCCCCGTCCATTTCTCCCCAGGCTGGAAGGAAACAGCCAGCTTTACGGTCAGAGGATGTCGGCCGTGGAGACCCTCCCTCACTCTGCTCCCAGCCCCTCGAGTTCTCCTTCACCCCACGGCCTCAGGAAATGGACTCCCGTCAATGCACACTCCTTCCCTCGCACAAGCAGAAAGAGGCGCACGTGTGCATGCACGCACACCGCACACACACACACCTGTCCCCCCCCCCGCCTCTTCCTCTCTCCACTTTGGCCTCGAAGCCAAAAAGCTTCTCACCTGTCGGCATCTGGCACCTCCAATGGGCCCTCCCCCTCGGATACCGGCTCACTGATCGCCTCCAGGTCCCCCGCGCTGGCGCTGCGCTTCTGCTCCCACTCACCTGCTCACAGGGCAGAGCGAAAGGGACTGAAGCGACATCTCTTCCCCCCCCCCCCGCCCGGTCCCATCCCGTAGAACCCTCCGCCGGCCTTGGCTTCCCGGCTCTCTGAAACGGGGGCGTGTGGGGAGGGGGGGCCCTTGGGCATGGTCCCTGCGACCGCCCCGGGGGGGGGGGGGGGGGGACTGCAAGGAGGGCCCCTGAAAACTGGACCAGCGGGGCCCCCCATTTAGTGCTGGGTCCTTCTCTGCCATCAGCCCCCCAGCAGAAGCTCCCAGCTGGGTCACCGGTCCCACCAGCCATGCCTTCTCCCCGCTCGTACCTTTGGGTTTCTTCTTCCTGCGGATGGAGGCCCGAACGATATCAGACCCAAAGTGATTGTGCCGGTGCCGCTTGGCACGGACGTCGCAGAACCAGGCCCCGGTCAGGATCTTCAGCTGGTTGGGATCAGAAACGGACTCCCGCAGTTTGCTGGGGGTGAGCAGAGGGGGAAGGTTTGAGCCACGTCCCAGAACCATCGCGGCACCCAGCAGGGACCAGTCACCCCAGACCACGGCTGGAGTCCCGCCTGCTTGTGGGCTCCCATTCCCCCGAGCGAGCCCGGCTGTTCCACCCATCCCCTGCTGGCTAGGACACGCTCAGCAAGTAGCAAGGCCTGAATTCAGCTACAAGCACGTTAGCTGCCAGCCCCAGGTTCCCTGTCTCCCCCAAGGCCTGACCCAACACACCCTGCAGGTGAATGGCACAAACCTCCAGAGAGGGCAGGCGGCAGAGTCTGAGCAGCTGTAAGAAACACAGCAAAACCCTTCCTACTTTGCAAGCCCCTTTCTATGGTAAGTGTGATACGCCCAGCACTGGCATCTGCTGATCCCCTGCACCCCAATGCTGGCACCCCCGGTACCCCAAACCTGAACACTGATCCCCTGCATCCCAACGCTGGCACTCCCTCTATCCCAAACTCCAGTGCTGTTCTCCCTGCACCCCAATGCTGACACCCCCCTTTACCTCAAACCTGAACACTGACCCTCTGCACCCCAATGCTGGCACTCCCTCTATCCCAAACTCCAATGCTGTTCTTCCTGAACCCCAATGTTGGCATCCCTGGTATCCCAAACCCCAACACTGATCCTCTGAACTCCAATGCTGGTACCCCCTCAAAGACACCCCCCATGCTGATCCCCTGCATCCCGATGCTGGCACTCCCACTATCCCAGACTCCAGTGCTGGTCTCCCTGCATCCCGATGCTGGCACCCCCTGTACCGCAAACTCCCATGCTGATCCCTTGTACCCCAGTGCTGACCCCTGCCATGGCACTGATCTGCTGTACCCCAAAACACCCACCACCAAACAACAAAACCAAAAAACCCAGAAAACGAATCTTTAAAAAAAAAAAAAAAAAAGCCCCTTCAAGTCCTCCCCCAAGCAGAGTTTATCCTGTAGATCGCGGGGAGCCTGTCTCCATGAAATCCACAAAGGCCTCTCTGCCCCTGGCCCGGGTGCTCAGACTGATGGGCAACAGGCGAAAACCTTACGGGAGCAAGGCCCTGTCTGCACTTGGGCCGCAGTTACAGCTTTCAGGTGCGCTTGCCCCTCGCAGGCTACCCTAAGAATGAACCTTTGACCCTCACTCTGCGGTGACTGACGCAGAGAACGTGCCAGGGGACACGGGGCTCCCCCCCAGAGAAGGCTGAGCGAGGAGCCTTGCATCATTGCTCCCCTCCGCTCAGCCTTGCTGCAACGAGAGGCGGGTTCTTACAGCCCGAGCGACGGCTCAGGGCAGACACCGAGTGGCACCCAGAGGCTGTCCATTGTACCTCCATGGAGCTACCTGAGGTGAGGGTCTAGGGCTGCCCTGGACTTGGCAGGGTGGACTAGTGGTGAGAGCACCAGACTGGATTTATTCCTGGCTCTGCTGCTGGGAGGCCATAGGCGAGTCATGTCCCTGCTCCATGCCTCAGTTTCCCCATCTCTACAAAACCGGATAATGCTGCTGATGCCCTTTGTACACAGCTTTGAGCTCTGCTGATGGTATCACACACGAGACTAGTGTCTCAGTGCAGCTCCAGCAGGCTACTTGGAACCCTCCCAGCACCAGCAGCCGTGCGGCCACCCTGGTTCCCGCTGGCTCGGCTCTAGCTTAAGCCAGCTAGGGACAAGGTGAAGCTAGAGCAGTGTTTCTTAAACTTTTTAAGACTGAGGAACACCAAACAATAATTTTATGAGGAACACCAAGGATTTTTTTGTTGAGCAAAAAAAAAAAGGGGGGGGGGGTTGAGAAAAAAAAAAAAAGTTGCCTGCCCCTTTAAGGGTGGCCATTTTGAACTCTGTTGTTCTCTGTTGTTCTCCGCGGCACATCTCCAACTGCCTCGTGGAACACAGTTTAAGAAACACTGAGCCAGAGAGAAACAAGCTGCTTGGCCTGGTGTGAAAGCATCCTGCTGGGGCCTGTGCATGGACAAAGTGGGGACCCGGCTGCATCTCCTGGGCTCACCTGATGCGTCCCTCCTCCTGCACCCGGAGCCGCGAGTCCCTCCTCAGCACCTCCACGATGGCCTCCTGCTCCTCCTCCGTCAGGAAGCTGAGGTCCAGCAGCGCATCAGTGTCTATGTCCTGGGCCATGGTGGGCTGCAGCGGGTGGTGCCCAGGGAGCAGACCAGTCTGTCCGGGGCAGAGCAGCGCCTCCCAAGGTCCTCCCGATGCACAGCAAGGCCAGGAACAAGCACCGAGGCCAGCCCGGTCCCAGGTGCCTTCACCCGGCCCCTCCCCACCGCAGAACCAGGGGGACGACGGGCAGCCGTGAGCTAGAGCCATCCTGCCACGGCAGTGCAGCGTGCCCGCTGCAGGGCGGGAGAGCAGGCGGCAGCCCTCAGCACTGAGCCACGTTGCTCCGTGGGCCCGCAAGGCGGTCACCCTCCATCCCGACGGCCTGCAGGGACAAGGCCAGAAGAGCTGAGCACAACCCTCAACCCCCTCTCGATGCAGGGAAGGAAAGGGCCCGAGGTCCAGCCTCCACCCTTGGCCAGAACCAATCTCAGCATCTGCGGACCCGGTGCCAGAACTGGGCAAGCCCAGAGGCCGGGCACGCTCAGGCCGTGTCTCCCAGGACGGAGGGGTGGGACTTGCAGCGGAGGCTGGGGGGGTGGGGCGTGTGCTAAATCCTCCTGCCAGCAGCGAACGCCGTTCTCCTTTAGCTCGGCTGCCCGCCGCCAGCACAGCTGGAGCTGCAGGGCGCCTCTGGGGCGGGTGGCTCAGATACAGCCCCTGGCATCCTGGCCCCAGCCATCGCTCGCCTGCAGGGTTTGCCCTAAGACAAGCCCTTGCCCACACCCCAGGGCACAGCTCCAGGTCCTCACACCCCCGGACCCCACCTCCCCTCCTCGCATTGCCAACCCTCCAGGATTGGCCTGGAGTCTCCAAGTTCCTCCTGTCATCTCCAGCAATACCTCCAACCCAGCCTGGAACCCTGAGAACGGGACTCCTGGAGCCCTTGATGGGCACCCGGCAGCCTGCCAGGCTCTGCCAAGGGGGCACCCCTCCACCAGGCACCCCTGCTAGCAGAGAAAGGGAGGAGCTGGTTGCCCCAGGTGGTGTCAGCGCTGGGATCAGGCTGCAGGAAATCCAGGCTCCACCCCAGGATGCCCTTTGCCAGGGCAGGCCAGCCAGAGCGCGCTCAGTCAAAGCCAGGGAAGCCCGGAGCATTGCCAGGATCACCCTGCACAAGCCAGGGACGGCGCGGGGGTGGGAGGGGAGAGACAGCCCCCTCCTGGGGAGGGCCAGACATGCCAGGAGAGAAGTGCC